ATCGGTAAAGGCCGCTGGGCAGGGAGGCCGCTGCACGAGCTGCTTTGGTAAGTAATTTCTTCATTCAAGTGAACGATAGACAGGTTTTTTTGTTAGGGTATCTGTAGTTAGCGGTCTGTGCTGTCAAACGTTCTCTGTTCAACCCCTCGGGATTGTTCTGGTTGTGATCAACTAAGCACTGTAGCTGCCTCCTCGTCTGCCATCTAAGATAACCTATTTCAGCTATCAGCAAAACTTCAAAATAAGTTGGTATCTTGCTGGTGTGTGATTGGAGAACAATTTATAATTTTTGATTTGCTGATTGGTTGCTGTGAATGTTTTGATTGATCTTTTGTACAGTGAGCACTCATGGTCTTGTAGAAGCAAGCAAGCATCCATCTCCGCATCCATAAATCTATGTAGTGTCACTAGCCATCAACAATGTTGTTGCATTGATGAGCGCCGGTTAGTTTGTAAGTGACAACACTTAACATCTGGATCCATGTCTTGACCCAGGGAGAAGCACAGAGGAGGAATTGCACCCAGTTTTCAAGTCATCCACATCAACTCTGTGACAGTGGACAACCGGCTAGACAACCTGCGACTGGTGCCAGTAGGCTGGAGCCCCAAACCGGAGGAGATCTCCAGCAAACAAAGGTACGACCACAAGTTTTCTCCATAAATGAAACCAGTTTGATTTATGAAGGGCTTTAGGCTGGCCTGTTTCTGTGCTGGAGAAAAATGACTTTATCCTTTAAAACAAACGTTTTTGGGTTTCTTTGTCTTCCAGTCTTCTTAATGGTTTGTTTACTTGAGATATTAGTTAGTAAAATGTTGTAACCTGGGTTTTCTTACAAGTGTTACACGTATCTAAACACATTGGGGGGGAAAAAGAAAAAACAAGTCCAACATTTTACTGCGCTCATGACCGTCGCAGTTTGATCTGACATCATCGTTTAATGAAAAAATATTGTAAAAGAATCCTTATTTAATTATAATCGAGGTAAAAGATTGAAACAATCATTATATTGATTTGAAGTCATATCGTAAAGCCCTTATTCTGGTTAAGCAGTTCTTAAAATTGTGGTTACTTACTTTATATGTTTTGCTGTAATATTTCTCCTCGTATTCCCTTACTCGTGCAGAGAGCAGTCTCTGTACTGGTTGGCCATCCAACAGGTGCCGGCCGACCCTGTGGAAGAACAGTATCTCGAGCTAAGCCGCACACGCTACTACAACGCTAACGGGGAGCTGGTGGAGGAAGAGGAGTGCTCCTGTACCTACTATGAGTGTCATTATCCTCCCTGTTCACTCATTGAAAGGAGGGTATGTACTATAACTGGTATCTTGTGAAACCTGCATGATTTTCCAGTCTAATTGTAACAAAATCAAACGTTTTAAGCCCGTTCACACGTTGATTTGTTTTCTTATCCTGAAATGTTCCTTGTCTTCTCACAGCTCCGGGAGTTCAACATCTGCGGTCGCTGCCAGGTGGCCCGCTACTGTGGCTCCCAGTGCCAGCAGAGGGACTGGCCTGCCCACAAGAAGCAGTGTCGCGAGCGCAAGCGAGTGTTGGCCCTGGAGTCAGAGCCCGAGCGATGATCGGCCTTCATCCTCGCCTGGGAGAGGATGGGGGAGAATTGGGGTGGGGGGGGGGTTCAGGGTTTGACTTGTGGGATGGGAGCAGGTATGGAGGGCTAGATGGGGAAATTTGATGACGAGAGACTAATGACGGAGGACAATATTGGTTGCTTGATTGTTTGGAATCGGGGGGGTCCAGAAGACGGAGGAGAGGAAAGAAGAATAAAGCAAAAAGACATCGGCTACTTCCCAGAACTGGTAGTTCTCCATAGCTTGCTTTTCATTTGGATGACGGGGAAAGTGTATTATTATTAATATTATTATTATTTTTTGTTTGTTTGTTTTTGTCTTTATTTTTCTCGAGGGGGGGCACACCCTCGAGCTCAACCTGCTGCTATGGTTTTGTGTGTGAGGGGGAACAAGTCGTCTTGTTGTTGAACTGGACAAGCTTCTTTGGACCACAGTCGTAGATGGACAGTTGTCCTCATCCACTTTTTCGCTCCTCCACCCAGCCGCTTGGGTGCGGCGACGTCTGTGCGAACGGGGGATTCCGTACCCATCGTTCAAGCTGGTACAATGGGACATGGACCTTTTCACTGTATCGCTCCCTCTCTGACCTCTGGTGTGCACAGCTGCCGTCTTCATGGTCATCGACACCGCCGCCTCCCTGTCTTGTCGCACTCTCCACGCAGCCAACCACGACACGCATCAGACAGATTTCACTGATTGAACCACACTTCCAGTATTGAGTGTGGGTGTGAGTGAGTGTGTGTGTGTGTGTGTGTATGTATGCTTGTATGTGTATTTGCTGCCAATATGTACTGAAGGACATTGAAATGCTTAACATGGTTTACAGGCCGCACTAACGTTATGTCTGTTCTCTTCTTAAAGGGGCCATATTACGCAATTTTAAATTTCATATTTAATCAAACTGGTGGGTTCAAAATTTTCACTGTTCTGTAATAAAAGTAGTTGCCAAGTAAAGGCTTTAATTTTTTTCTTTAGAGGTTTTCTCCACCCATTAGTTATTTTTCAATCACTTTGATTAGACTTATATATACATTAAAACATTTGCGTTTTCAAAATGACTGTTTTAGAAGCTGTTCCTGATGTTCGGTACTGAAGTCAATCTTTTTCCATTATCACAAAAGTTATAAACTGTTAATGAAAATAATTATCCTGTGTTCTCAAGACAAATTTCCTCAATCACATGGAAACTAAATGGAAGAAATGATCTTTACCAAAGTCTGCTCTTCTTCTGTGGTTTGACACACTGAATCCCTCCAGTCAGTCTTACTTTGCTTGGTTTTAACACACGCCTGTCTTCTTCACGGTATTTTCTTGCATCTGCAGGGTTATGGTGTGTGTGTGTGTGTTGTGGAGTTTGCTCTAAGGTTATTTTTTTGAAGAAATTGAGCTATATATTTATTTAAAGCAAGCGGTTGTGAAATGTGCTTTTGTCCTGATGATATTTGAAGGTAAACAGATAATAGAGTGGGGGCCTTTTTGTCACATTTTTATGGATGGGGGAGGGGGACTGAACATTTCATCCCTTGTTACTCAGTTTTGATTTTACTTTTCTCATCCTGAAGAGTCCTCCTGGTTGTTGCCCCTCCAGATGTTCCATGAAAACACTGCACACCATCATCGTCACTAAAATCTTCCATGGGAGCGTAAACTTGAATTACCCCACTTTTGTTTTGTACAGTGGTTCTACAGGCAGAAGCAATTCTTGCTTTTTTCTAACACACAGCAGTCCGAGTGAAATTGTTCTGTTCAAATTTGTCCTTAACGGCCTGCCCTTCCTGTATTACCCACAGTGCACACCTGCTTAGACGTGTCCTTGTGTGTCTTAGGTGAGGAGTCCAGACACTACGCATGTTATTCCCACGTGTACATGCGACCTGTTGATTGTTTCTTATGTGTGTGTGCGTGTGTGTGTGTGTGAGTGAGAACAGGTTTTCAACACTGCACTAAACCATGGCTCCCATTTTAGCGTATTTGTCGTAGATGGGCTGAAGGGAGGGGTGATTTGGACAGCGTGTACAGATCGTGTCTGGAATCTTTTTGTTTTGTAAGAATATAAGCATTAATCACCTAGAAATAAAGAGCTACAATATGTGAATGGAAGTACAGTTGGGGATTACTGACAGTTGCTTTTCCAATGTAAAATGACAATAAATAAAATGAAACCTCATCTGTTGGACTTGACTATTGATAAGTGTAGGAGGAGAAGAAGATACATCTCTAAATACATGTTTTCCAACTTGCATGATAACTTATTAGTATATGACTATGATTTGTTAATGGAGGGTTTTGTCCTTGGGTAAAAAAATGCAATATAAAGTAAGTTCTGTATATTTTCTATAAGTAAGCTGTAAGACTGCTCTCATTAGTGTACAGTGTTGGAACAGAGGAATAGTTTTACTTTTGACTTGTGGGTAAACTTTCAGTCATGGACAGATCATGGAAACTTGTTTATCAAAAGAAAGTGTCCATCCAGTGTCCTTGTATGCATTACAGCAAGCTGATTATTTAAAAACATGGGGTTCATCACTTTAATCTCTAAAGTCTTAAAGTCTGTCCAATATTTCTTCTGTCTCTTGAATGTAACAAGTGGCAGATGTTCAGCTGCATCAGTCTGGTAACTCGAGCCTCTGTGTTGTTGCTCCTACCTCAGTGGTAGTTGGATTCTCTTCTCTCCAGCTCTCACGTCTTCCTCTTCTTCTTCTTCTTCTTCTCGCTGGACATCTCCACTTTGTGTTCTCCAGATCACCACGGTGTCAAAGTTCAACCGAGGGGGTCACAGAGGTTAGTGTGTCATTGCAGACCTGATTTCTCCACGTAGCAGACACAGGTCACTGCGATAACTTTATTTAAGCTCCAGCTTTCATGTGACAATCTGTTTGCTGAGGCTGTTGTAAGACCCATTAATGGATTAAGATTAATTTACAATGATGGTGATTAAAGAAAAAAAACACATTTGCCCTGACAGGATAATAATGGTGTCTCTAAATTCTAAATTCAATGTGTGAAAAACAGGACCAGATTAACTTTTAAATACCAGGTAACAGATTTAATAATTATCTTCATCCTTTTACAAAGGTCAGGTCAGAGCTCATTTATATAGCATGCAAACAACCACTGTTGAAGAAAGTGATGAACAGGCTTCAAATATGAAAATAGAAGAGTATAAAAACATTTTTAACACTTCTCTTCTGCTCGTCTGAATTCCTAAAGATTCAATTCTCTGCCCTGAACTTCTGTAAATACAGACAACAATGGTTAAGGCTGATTGGGATCATTATTTTTTACTTTACACAGTTTTTGTGACTTTATCAAATGTAACCTGTCAACACCTTTACAAATGTCCTGTAGTGACAGTTTGCAGTACCACCTCCCCTCCTTTAGATGTCGCTAGCAGTTCAAGCAAACTGCTGTAATCTCTCATGATTTAGATTCTGTTCTTGCAAACACGGAAGTTGTATAACATCACAGAGAAGACACACACATGGTTTTATAATATCAAACATTGTCTCAATGACAAACTAACAGCTGCAAGTTTAACGTTAGCAGCGGGAGTAAACATGGTGAATCTCGGTCTGACCAGAGTGGACGATGCGCTGGTCGCCAAACATCCGGTGGGTTTATTATGTTCTGCCTCTTGTCCCCGGAGGACACTGAGTACAGATCACCTCTGTAATATGTGAATATCTTGGAAAACAGTGTGTGGATGTTCCTGCAGAAACAATCATGTGATAAGTTTCTCCTCCTCAGGGGTTAGAGACTTATGCTGCCTGTCAGTCTCGCGCCTTCATGAAGGGAACTGGCAGCTTTGTACTTGGTAAGTGTCATTTCTCATCCACCCGCATTGTCTTATCATTTATAATTGTATTTAATTAATAAAACATCAATTCTAACTTTAGTTTGTTTTATTGTTGCAGTTTATAATTGCACTGCATGTTTTGTCTCTGTCTGTAAACGTGTTCTTTGAAAAGTATTATGTGAATAGTAGTTTATTATTATAATATATTTTTACTATTGTTAGTAATTCCTTTATTCCAGTGTCTCTACATCAGTCCTTAATCTGGCAAATCTTCAGATAAATGATTCTGAGGAAAATGTCTTTAGACAAATGGAGAATAAAGACCAAAGAAATTACAGAAATAAAACACGCATTGTTTTGACCAGTGTTCACCACAGGGGGGCGCTGTGCCCTGCAAGTGCTTTGTGGTATCAACCATAGCAGAATGTTTTTCTTCATATGAGGCTGATGGTCACGTTGTTATTTCAGTTTCATTATAATATAAGCTCTGATGTGAATTGTTTATCGCTGCTGTATCAAAAATGCACAAGAGTTTCAAACAAAATTGACAGCAGATTGTCAAAGGTAGACAGAAGAGTAAGTGAAAGTACAAAATAGAATAAATAAATATAATAAAATATAAAACATATGGAGATATGTACAATATATCAACCCTTCCTTCTTGACGGGAAGTTTTAATGTTCGTCCTGCTGCTGGAAGTTTCAGTGAAACAAACATTCAGGTATCAGTGACGTGTTAATGCACCTCATGTGGCGTTTGCTATGTTTGTAGGTGCTGTTGGTTTACTTGCCGTTCAAACGGCTTTACAGAGGAAACTTCCTTATCCTCTTCAGTGGAGCCTGCTCATTTCAATAGGTGAGAGGTGAAACCTTGACTAGACAAAAATGTATTTGCATACAGGAGCGATGTTAATGCAGCCTCTAAGCCTCCCTCCCCTCCCTCTCTCAGTGGCCTCCTCAGTCGGCAGTTATGCAGTGACTCGCTGGGAATCACAGAAATGCTCAGATCTGTGGCTGCTGCTGGAAACAGGAAAAATCCCGGACAGATCACCACCACAGTGTGAGTACAGTGCAGACAGGCTCGCTATGCCAGCTCTGTTCTTCAGTCATGACAAACCAAATGAGCACAGTTCAGAGACATTTATGCTTAAAGTTAATGTTCTCTGTGTTTCTTTTAGTGCCTAAACCAGAAGAATCGAAGGGACCTGGGAAGACAAAATATGGCGACGTAATAGATTGAACATGATCATAAATAAACATATTTAAACTGTATATATAACTGCTGAAGAAATATCTTATGCACAGTTGTCTGATGATGATGCCGATGGTAGAACTTCTTGTCCTTACTTGAATACATGACTTTATTACAACAATGGATCTGTATACAAAGAAGATGCTTTGTCTAACTTGCATGCAGACAGTCAAACCAAAAAGCCTGAAGTACAGAAAAGAAATTCATTATTATACTATTCTGGAGGGAAACTGACGGCAGTACACGTTATACAAATCACAACACAGGCACATACTGGAGACTGGATGGCACCAAACAACTAATCTATGGCACAGAGGACACTGTGCCCCTTTAGGTCACCCATCTGTGGGACATTTGTCACTTCCATCCAGAGATCTATTTCACTTTTCTCTCTTTAATTTCCTTAATAAACCACATGGATGAAGAGCCAGTTTTTTGACGTGGATGTGTTTCCTGAATCAGAAGACCGAATTATTTGGCTTTTTTTTAAATCAGATTTGAAGCTTATGATCCGGTATTATTATCTTTCGGGCATGTTTGTTTGACATGCAACAGAATTAAAGCAGCACTGCCAAGATGAGATATTAGTTGTCGCTGTATACCTCATGTGATCTGCAGAGCTGTGCTTCGGGCCCATGTGGGTTAATATACTCAGTAAATGACCAGTTTTCTTTTTTCAAGCATCTTATATAAACTACACATTGACATGTTTTAATCAAGTTAGCTTTGAGCTACACACAGAAAATCCTTAATAGATAAATAAGTTGACATTCTGAGCTATTAAATGAAAGTCTCAGAGCAGCATAAAATCATTTACTGTTGTTTCTTTCAGCCACTGCACGTTTGCTCGACTGTCTTCAGTTAGGTTATTATCGCACGGTGATTAAACATATATTTTTTGGAATTTGTTGCAAGGATTTTATACGTCACTACAAATTGAATTTTGTTTATGAATAAATAGAGAATTGAGAATGTAGGTACTCAGAGAAGGAGACTATTTAAGAGACTGGAAATCTTCTTACTAGATTTTTAAATCTGTAATTCTAACTCTACTCTGGTGTCTTCTAATAATTTCACTTCATATTATTGAGGTGAGAGAAAGTACCCAGATTGTAACCTATCACCATTACCATAACAACTACAATTCTTGCAAACATAAACGGTTTTGGAGATCCAGGCGCAGCAACCGTCTCCTTCACAAAGACCAGTGCTGATAAACAGATGTTAGAATTCGAAAGTGTTCACTAATGTGTGAAAATCTAGAGTCAGGTTCCATCAATCAGAATCAGCTTCTGTTGTTAAACGTGTTCACAAAAGAAAAAAAGGGATGACTACATTCTGTTATTGGCCTAGCTTAACTCATCTGTACAGTAAGGTGTTCGATTGTCCACTGTGCAGTGCAGGCCATTGAAACAATAGAGTCTTTCAAACATACTTTAACACCTCGAGAGAATGAAGTGGCCAAAGTCCAGGCGTTTGGTTCATGGAGAACAAGCCAAAGAAATTCTGAGCTGTGGAGAAAATCTCATACACAGGAAAGGAGAAAAATGCCTGGATGGGAAATTCTCATAGTAAAGAAAACGTGGATGAGAGAAGATTTTTTGTCGTTGGTTTGATATTCCTTTTCTCTCTCCATCTCTGTGCAGTCTTATTCCACCCCCACTCATGCTTCCTCTCGCTCTCGTCCTCCCCCTGACTGCAATTCAAATCTGATTTAACACCTCCAGGATTTGTAGGTTTAGAAGTCTCTCTCTGTGTCTTTCTCTCTCTCTCTCTCTCTCTCTCTCTCTCTGTGTCTTTCTCTCTCTCTCTCTCTCTCTCTCTCTCTCTGTGTCTTTCTCTCTCTCTCTCTCTCTCTCTTGCCTCCATCCAAAAAAACAGGCTCCATGAATTGAATAAGCTCTCAGATCCTTTGTCACATGCACATTGATACGACTGAAGGGAAAGACTCAGAGGAACAGAAAGCAAACAGGAGATAATGAGAGGGAAGATTGCGTGTGTGTTGCATGACAGGACTGACTGGCCGCTGGACAGTAACTGAAACGTGCAGCAGTATGGACGAGGCTGCTGGGATGCTTGGCACGGCTAATAGATCCTACAGAAAGGGGGGGCATGAGTGTGTGTGTCTGTCTGTGTGTATGTCTGTGTGTGTGTGTGTGTTTGCAGCAGCAGTGCGTGTGCGTGACAACGTGAGACCAGAGGAGCAGTGAGTGTGCACTTGTCTGACTCTGTGGGTTGAGTGATCAGACTGAGTAGAGCTGCAACTGGACTTTGTGTGTCTGTGTGTGTGTGTGTGTGTGTGTCTGTCCCCTCCACTCTCAGCCTTTCTTTTGTTGTATAACAATCGAGCCTGAAATGCCCCAAAAAGCCAGATACCGGATATAATTTTCCGTTTCTCCAGCCCAAAGTGGAAGAACCAGTATTGTAGCAATAATGATAAACTCTTCGGGACCTTTTCCAGTATTGACACTGACCTTCTCAGGACCAGTAGACCTCAAGGGCACCAAATCCTGGTCCAAGCATCATTTCTTAGGGTGTAGTTAAGATAAGGTTTTAGTCAGGCTGTCTACACTTAATGGAAGTCAAAAAAAAGCCCCAAGATTAGCTGCGCAAACCTGTTCCACCGTGGAAGAACCAAAACTATGGGGCCGGTTTTGAAGCAGTGTGTGTGTGTGTGTGTGTGGTATTAGGGTTGTGCAACTGTATCTCAATCCCTGTGTGTGTAATCATTCTTATAGAGGTGTAAAAAATCAGTGTGATCAGATTTGTGTATGGAAAAATCATCTACACCTACAAATCTCAATCACAAATACTTTTGATACAATCTTGGCCCCATACAAAACCACTGCTGGACGAAATCAATACTCTGAAGCTGTATTATTGGGTATTTGAGCACGTTATCTCTTTGACATGCTCTATTGCCTAGAGTCATGGTCGATTCCCCACAAATTAATATGTTAACTAGAACAACTGGTACGAGAGTGATTGTCAAACGAGGCACATGCGTTTGCTCTGAGGGGATTTATTGATTGTGCGTTCTGTCTGTCAGCTTCTACACAGTGGATTTGATAAATATAAACGGGAGAAAATGTGTGATTCACTATCAGTTCTGACAGGAAAAGAATTCACTGAGTGGGCAGCATTAGGCAGACGAGTCACAGGGAGCCCTTTGTGGCAGTGTCTTCATCAGTCACTGCATACGTTGGTGCATGTGATGATGGGATGAGAGATCAAGTCTGGACAGGCCACATATAAACACAGGGCTGAGCAGGGGCTGAGCGTTCCTCTCCCTGTGACTCACCGCTGGGAAAAGAGAAAGAGGAAAAAGTCTCACTGACACGCCAGATATGTTTGCAATGTGTTTGCACTGTGTGAAATTGGATGTAGGTTTTGTGCAGGGAGTGAGTGCAGAACGGATGATGAAAGGGTCAGAATCACAGTCAGGACTTTATCTTGATAGGATTAGCTGTTGTCTTTATTGTCACTTGATAGTGGCCTCGTTTGGAGGTCAGGGCTATTCTGTAAAGTGTGACCAAATCCATAATCAATGGTTGTTCATCAGAATAACATCCAATGCATGAACGACAAATAAGAATACTTCATATTTCATTCAAAGATGATGTGTTTTCATACAAATTCTTAAAATGAAGAGTGATTATAATTGACATGTAAATGCAGTGAAGTCAATGTTACTGTGACACAAGCGCGGGGACCCATTCTAGTGACTTTGTGCTTGTGAACAAGATTTCACAAAAACAGAGAGACAGATTTCCATGAAACTTGGAGGAAGGATGCGGAACAGATCAGAGAAGAATCAACGTTGGTGCAGATCCAGACTTTCTTTAAAACTGTGAGATACAGTGTGTTTCAACATTTTCGCTGTCTTACCAGCAGGTTGATGAAAAAAACAGGAATATTTAGAGGACTAATTTGTATTGTGTGAAATATGGTGCAGCTTGATTAAATGGAAGTGGTCTGTTAGTGAACCTGGGTATTGTTTAATGGCTTTTAACACTTGATGAATTGTGGACTTTTAATCATTGGGTTTAAAGTCAAACAAAAGGATAAGGTTCCTCGTGGTGATTTGTGTGTTAGTGTGTGTGTGTGTGTAAGGTGATAGTTAGCTCAGCTCTTTCTGATTAAGAGTGTGTGTGTGTGTGTGTGTGTGNTGTGTGTGTGTTTGCAGCAGCAGTGCGTGTGCGTGACAACGTGAGACCAGAGGAGCAGTGAGTGTGCACTTGTCTGACTCTGTGGGTTGAGTGATCAGACTGAGTAGAGCTGCAACTGGACTTTGTGTGTCTGTGTGTGTGTGTGTGTGTGTGTGTCTGTCCCCTCCACTCTCAGCCTTTCTTTTGTTGTATAACAATCGAGCCTGAAATGCCCCAAAAAGCCAGATACCGGATATAATTTTCCGTTTCTCCAGCCCAAAGTGGAAGAACCAGTATTGTAGCAATAATGATAAACTCTTCGGGACCTTTTCCAGTATTGACACTGACCTTCTCAGGACCAGTAGACCTCAAGGGCACCAAATCCTGGTCCAAGCATCATTTCTTAGGGTGTAGTTAAGATAAGGTTTTAGTCAGGCTGTCTACACTTAATGGAAGTCAAAAAAAAGCCCCAAGATTAGCTGCGCAAACCTGTTCCACCGTGGAAGAACCAAAACTATGGGGCCGGTTTTGAAGCAGTGTGTGTGTGTGTGTGTGTGGTATTAGGGTTGTGCAACTGTATCTCAATCCCTGTGTGTGTAATCATTCTTATAGAGGTGTAAAAAATCAGTGTGATCAGATTTGTGTATGGAAAAATCATCTACACCTACAAATCTCAATCACAAATACTTTTGATACAATCTTGGCCCCATACAAAACCACTGCTGGACGAAATCAATACTCTGAAGCTGTATTATTGGGTATTTGAGCACGTTATCTCTTTGACATGCTCTATTGCCTAGAGTCATGGTCGATTCCCCACAAATTAATATGTTAACTAGAACAACTGGTACGAGAGTGATTGTCAAACGAGGCACATGCGTTTGCTCTGAGGGGATTTATTGATTGTGCGTTCTGTCTGTCAGCTTCTACACAGTGGATTTGATAAATATAAACGGGAGAAAATGTGTGATTCAC